AGCTCCTGCCGCCTGCACCCAGGAGCGTCCTGGGCGCAGTTTCTCCCATTTCCAGTCAGGACTTCCAACGACTGAAAAATTTGTTTGCCTTCTTTTTCACGACCCTTGGCATGCCCTTGACCTTTCTCTTGTTCTCCTTGTGGGCCTTGATCTCATTGAACAAGTCTTCACTCCCTCTCAGCAGCTCTGTCATGACGTGCCACTGCAATTTCTTCTCTTCCACAACTTCTCTTCTCTGAGGGTCAAATGAGCTGAAGTCCTCGTTGGTCAAAGCATCCGCCAGCACATTGCCGTCCCGTCTCACCCAAGTGAGTGTTGCAAAAGCATCACACCTTCGGAGTGTCTCCGCAACTTCTATCACCAGAAGTGTGACAGGGTATTTTGTCGACAGACCTTTCTTGAGGATGAAAGCATTGCCACGGTTGTCAGTGAAGGCCTCTGCGAAGACCTCCGCTGAACTTCCTGCCTTCGTCAACCAAAGCTTCATCGCCACCAGTGTCGCCAGCAGTTCCAATGCTGCAATCACCCTCTTTGGATTCCTCCCCCGGAAGTAAAGCCAAGGGGCGCTCATCTCTGTGACACGCAGGGAGAACCATCGACATGCTTTGCTGTCCTCGCTCTCTTCCAGCCAGCCTCCGATCCATGCGGCCTCTTCAGTGGCCTTGGCATCCGTCCAGATCCTCAAGGGTGTGCCGCCCTGGGTTGAAGGCCGCCTGACCATCTCCATGTGGCCTCCTGCCTTGAGCCTCTGCGAAATCCAATCCAAAATGAACTGCACAGACCATGGGATCGTTAAGGCACCTCGATTCGACTGGATTGCTGATGACCAGGCATAGAGCGGCCCAAGAAGCGGCCTTTCCCATGGGAGGGCCAAGGCAGCAAAGCCAAGTCTCCCTAGCCCAGCTGAAAATTCTCTGTACTCCACCTCCTTGCGAAGCCTCAGGGAACCTATCCAATCAATGAGCCACCCTGCCCTTCTCTCTGAGAGCCCCATCGAGAAGGTCCGATAGTCCGTCGTGAGCCCAATCCATTCTGACGTGAGCCCACCTCTCTGCTTTGCCCATTTGAAAGGCGCCCCCAACGCAGCCATGAGGGAGAATGCCAGAACAGCGCCAACTCGCCCTTCACGGCCAACCGCCAATACCTCCAGGTCATCCGCGTACAGCAACATGTCGTCAGGGAAACTATCCCCCAACACCCAGTATACTGTCCTCATCAATGCTGCGCTGAGCCTAGCCCACCAATAAGGCGTTGATGCCACACCAAACGTGCCAACCTGATTGATGTAGACCGTCTCTGAAGTCGACGAGGCCTTGCACGCCAAAAAGCCCTGCTCTTCACCAGCGTACTTGAACCTCCGGTGGGCTTTTGCAAAATCCCCCACCAGAGACAGGATCACCTGCCTGCCTGCCTCATACTCTTCAAGGAGGGCCCTCTTCTCACGAGGCCCCGGCATCCGAACTTTGTCCCTGCATTTGATCCGATGATTGACCATGACTCCGTGCGTTCCATCATGGATGACTCTCTTCTTGCCCGTGAGCTCGTCTTCAACCAACACTGCAAGGGCTGCCACTGCCCTGTTCTCGCCAAAGGCCTCAATGAACTCACTCTCTTTCATCTTGATCATGAGGCCCTCCGACACCTCCTGTTCCAGGTGTTCCACTAGGTACCTCTCGTGCTCAGCTGCCGACGAGTAGTTCTCCTTCTGCAAGACTGCATCGCTGCCCACTTCGCCCTCCAAGTTCCACTTCACCTGCTCCTCAAAGATCGATGGCGTCCTTGGGAGGTCACTCAGCACCCCAAGCGGGAGCCCAGTCTTGGCTTGCTCCAAGAAACCACTGTCCGGATCCCCCGCCTTCTCAAGGATGCCCTTCATGAGGTCCAGAAAGAAAGGTTGCCCAGCCTCTGGGGTATCTTGTGCCGCAATGCCCAGCCTCTCCGACAAAATTGACCTGATCTCCTTCAAAAAGCTCTCATCTCTGACCAGTTGAAAGGCGTCACCGCCTCTCGCCATCCTGAAGGCCTCCTTCTCCACTTCCGCCATACTGCCCAGGCGCCTAACGGCAGCAAGACGAAACTGGTGCCTCACAGCCACCCATTCCTTGCCCTCCAGGTTCTTTCTCTCTTGCGGCACCCACCTTCCAGGCGAAGCCAGTCCTCCTCCATCATGGAATGGCGCCTCAAGCCCCTTCCACCTGCACGAGCGCGGATGCCCTCGCCCCCCCGGGACCGGCGGGTCCATGGGGTCCACCACCAATTTCTCCTCCTTCCGGGGCTCTGTCTTCAGACGTTTTTCCGCCTCTTCTTGGCCCCCATTCATTGCCTCCAGACCCCTCTTCGAAGGTGCCCTTGATGATGTCTTTGATGAAGTGGAAATATCCTCACCCCCCCCCATGCACTCGTTCAAGTAGGAGGTGAGGATCGCTTCTGCAGTCCACTTGCAAAGTGCTGGCGGCCATGCGGCCGACTGTGCCGTCCGGAAAACCCCATTGGCCTTTCCGATCAGGGGGGCGCCCCCTGATTGCCTGGGGAGCGGACCCATGTACCACCCTTGGTCATCAAACTGTGGAGGCCCTGTACGCATTGCAGGATGTAAAGGAGCAAATATACGCAGTAAAAATCTTGTAGGTTTTGGCGATGCTGTCCCAAACTCCGATTGTGCAAAAACTACCGTCTGAACATCGTGCATCTTCAAGATCTCTGCAAACTGCCAGAACTGCCACATGGACGCCGGCTGGTGTCCTGGCACACGCTCATTGCTTGTTCTGCCGAGGTCCTCGGGTTGCTCCATCAATCCAACTCTCTGTTTGCATGCAAATTGACGCTTCAATGCTTCAAAGGAGAAGTCTGCCAACACTGTACCAAATTCTGCTTTGTGAAACCGCTCTGCCCTGTTCCAGGGAAAACCTCGTGGATAAACCGAGCTCCTCAATGGGAAAGGCCCCAAATCATTCGCCCAGACCGCTCTGGAAAAGGTGGAGCAAGGCGGTGTAACTATGACGGCATAGAAAATGCCTTGGGCAATCCTCTGCAGCCATTTTTTCTGTACCGAAGGAATTGTGAAGTCCGACCGTCGATCAGCTTGAATATCCAGCTCCGTGATCTCCACTCGGACATTCTTTCGTGGCGCAAGCCTCCGGAGGAATCCAGCAACTGAATTGCGCCGCTTCCGCCCTGAGAAAACGTAAAGGACCCTCAATACTCCTCACTTTGACCCATCTGTGTCGGGTGCTGTTGCTTCCTTTCTGTTCTTTGGATTGCATTCGTAAAGAGGGTGCTTGTCACTGTAGCAAATTCCGCGCACATGCCGATATTTGCATTTGCTCATCTTGCATTTCTCACCTGGAGTGTTGTATCTAAAGCAGATCAACTCACCATCTGGTGTGTGTGTGTGTTGCACAATGACTGCTGCTTCCTCTGCCTTTGCCCTTCTTCCCCTTGCCCTTTTCCTTGCCCTTTCCACCCTTGTCCGTGGCGGGCCACTTCTGTGCCGGCTGCTCACGCCATGGAGGCAGCGGCCGCTTGGCGTACAGGGCAAGTGGCGTCGTGAAGTTCCTCTCTTTCACTGTTGCATCCTTCCAGGCCATCTTGAGCGCCACTGTCAATGGCTTGCCCTCTGTATTCGTGAGCTTCACCGCCTGCTTGCGAATGGCCTTCTCATAGGCAATGACTAACTTCCAGGGTGGTGCAGCAAAGGTCTGACCCTCAGCGTCTTTTGCACTGAGACCGTACACATAGTCCCCCAACAAGTAGTCCTTGTACTGCTCAACCGTCTCCTCCCAAGCCCCTTGAAGCTCATGCCGATTGGAATGCTTCAGGGAAATCATAACCATGGCATTCTTCCAAATGCTCAGCCGCCGCCGAAGTTCTTCAGCGTTCGCTGGCTCGGGCACTTTTGTCGAGGCTTTGCGCATGGCCAGGCGGCCCTTGGAGTCCCAAATGGGCACCACGCCATCCGGCTCGATTTCCTCTTTCGATACGACTTCAGTCAGGTCTTCGGCACGGTATTCACCCCCTTCGATCTCTGCCAACTTCTTTTCGACGAATTCTTTCGAAGGGTAAATCTTGTCCTCCAGATGACCGTACCTCTTCTCCATTGCCGATCGCATCGCTGCCCATTCCCCTGCTACCACGGGCCTTGACCACTGCAACGTGTCGTACTCGGCGTCCACCTCTGCTGCACGTTGACTCCTCGTCTTGGCATTGCTGAAGGCACATGTGATCGCAGCGACCTGTACCCTCTCATCCAACGACCTGTAAGTTACATTGGTGGCATTTAGCCCCCAATTGGTAGCATTTGGCTCCCACCCACCCTCCCACATTCCCACATAACTTGGCTCCACTACCATCCATGGCCACAATGCCAACTGGCCAGGATCACAGCAAAGTAAGTCAATCACTAATAGCAAAGAGAGCCAGTGCCAGTGCGGCCATCTGAGCATGGCAGTATTTGCTTGGAGCTTTGAGCCATGTCCAGAATACTCTTAGCTTGGCAGAGTTTGCTTTGATGTTTGAGCCCTGTCCAGAATACCAAACTGTGGAAAAGAAAAAACGAAAAATGTTTGGGGCGCAGAAGTCACACAGTAATTACACACCCACCCTCCCAGATTTCTCGGATCCATGGGTGACACTTCTCCTCAGCCTTGTGCACATGAGTGCACCTCATGTGTTCTCACAACCTGGGCCTTGAGGTCCTCCACAAGTTGAAAGAACCTGGAGAGATTGGCACATCTCCCAAAGTTCATCGGGTTCGATCGGGTTTGAGGTGATATTGTTCCAATCTTCCAAACTTGCCCAAACAAATTCAAAGTTTCTTCACATAGGGTTCACTGGGAGATTTAAGGCACCTCTTCTTCGTCGCAAGGGCGTCGGGATCGATCCACCTCACAGGTGGTGGTAGCACACTCTAGTTTTTTTCAGTGGACACGTTTGGAGACTTGCACTGACTGGCTCTCAGCCTTTCACGTCGCCTTGCATGGAACCCGAAGGTGATCAGAACATATCACACAGACCTTACAATTTCACAAGGTCTACAAACAAACACTATATATAAGATACAGTTACATACACTATATATACACTATATACGGTATACACAATATATACATACGATATATACATAAGATATAGATGTCGGCCGGTCGATGCGACGATTCGATCCTGTGAAGCCTGCGATCCTGGCGAAGGAGACCCGGCCTGGGCGTGGGTAGATTTTGTGCTCTATGAGGTATGTAGCACTCAACTATGACTCCCTCAGTTGGTGTTGCTTCTCAAGTTCGCACACCCTCCACACGTTCTTTCATGTTTTTTCCACATTGATCCCTGCAGCATTCTCCCCAATGCAACAGGTAAAGGAACTCTAAGTGGCACATAGTGGCACCGCTGACTGGGCAAAACTGTTTTGAGCTACTTTGAGGGGACAGATTTGAAACAACACTGGTTTCAGAAGGTGACAAACAAATCAAAAGGTGGCCAACAGCTAACTGGACACCATTTGACAATCGTTCATTACATAATACCCAATCAGCGCTGCACTCCAAGACGGGTGCTCATGATCTCGGCCCTAGTGTCGCTTTCCATCCAAGCTTTGCAAGCTGCACGGAAACGCTCTTGAGACTTGGGCAAACCACTTGCCTCAATCCACTCAGTGATAAACTTCTCACGGATCTTGGCCATTGAGGAGGCTACAGCTGGTGTTGCAGCAGCCGCTGGAGAAGGAGCCACTTCTGGGTCGATGCGAGGTTGGTCATTAGACTCTGGTTTCTCAGCAGCACGAGGAACTCCCTTTGAAACCCACTCTTGATGCCATTTGCGGCTGTTGATTCGAGCCAGCTCACGTTTCTGTTCCAAGCGTTTTTGATCCTCACTGATCAACTCTGGAGTAAGCTCCTCCACAGTGTCAGAGAAGTTGGTCAGATCCTTGGACTTGGACTCATGTTCCTTGATCTCGTTTTCATTCGGAACAGGAGGTTGTGGGGGCTCTTGAAGAGGTTCATGATGCTGGTAGGGGTCCTTGTGAACTCCCAATGCCTCACGGGCAGCACTCTGGGCACTTTGTAGTGGGGAACCAGAAGGCGCCTGTGGATCAAAAGGTTCTTGGGAATCCTCCCACAAACCACACTCACGAGTGATCTCGGCGCTACTCTTCATGCGGTTCAGGACAGGGCGTGCCATCTTCCTTTTTGGCCTGAGGAGAAGCGAGGTGACGTGGGTTGACATGAGGGTTGGAGAAAAACCGATATTTATATATATATATATAGATATATATGTTTGAATATACTTCACATGTGAGAATATACTTCACATGCATCAGAGTGACGATTCTGGTGCTTCCAGTGAATCGTCAACCCCAACTGGCTTCGCAAGCGAAGGCTGCAAAGATCCAATTGTGAAAGTAGTTGGAGTAGGGCGAGCGGTATTGTGAATGAGGAAGTGGTGCCGCTTTTTTTGAGAGTCCACTGAATGAGTCATGACCTGAGGGTTCAGCTCATACTCCATGATCTCATCATCATCCACCACAATTTGGGTGGACAAGCTGGTCATTGTTCCACACTAGGTCACTAGGTGACACGCGAGGACCAGGCTAGACTTTGATCAAAAGCACTGAAGAGAGCAGGAGATTGAGCTTGTTTAAGCAAACAGGTGGTGTGAGAGTCAAAGGCGCTGCAAGGAAGTTTCAAACATATCAACAAATGGAACTGGTGTGAGACACACTGTTCAAAAGCTTCAAAAGATGCCACCATAAATGGTATGAGAGAGACGGTTTCAAAAGATGTCAAGAGAAATGGTATGAGACTATGAGACACATTGCAACAAATGCCCTAAAAAAGTCGGCATAGACTGTGAGAACCACTAGTGTACTGTTGATGCACAATGCACAGGAGCTTCAAAAATGTTTCCCGAAAAACTATAGTTGAATGAGGAGTAACCCAAACAACATTTTCTTCCCTCAACACTGGCTCTCTGAAATGCGCAGCATGGATATCCAAGGATATCACTTACGCTCAACGACCCCCGTGTGTGATTTATCACACCAAGAAAGATTCAACAGGCAATGGCCTCGCATCGCCTTGAAGCCCCGCCAAGAAAATGCCAGTCTGGCATGTCACACCAGGCGCTTGCATCCGCCTTTGGGAAGCTCCAGGTTGTGAGGCAAGTGGTACAAGGGCTTCGCTGGTGCAATGCATTTCTCATTTGCCCAGAAGCGCAGCCGCCAGACCTGACAACACAAAAGTCTGCCAGCAAAAGTCTATGAAACATTCAATGAACAAAAGGGACGTCAACCAAGCACCAAGCAAATTGCCGATAAACATGTTTCAAGGCACCACATCCAATGGGCTGTTCTCGAGCAGGCTCCACGAAAATGCAGACGCCAAGTTCGCCGCCTTGAGGTTCTTCGTTGGTACTGCGTTTGGCTTCCATGCCAATGTATTCGCTGCATCTGCCTTGATCTCAAAGCAATCAGCCTCACGGCCTTGCTGAACACTGGGCGGCCTGGTGCACAAATTTCCGCCTAAAGTATACTCAACATAGCCTTTTGCCTCATAGTGCTGCAATGCCTTCCGAAGTGTCATCACAGCACTGTCCACCTGATCCTCCTCCATGGAAAGAAGGCGGAAACAGAATGTACAAAACAATTCAAAACACCTATTCAACACATGTTTCTTGTGAAAGGGATTGCGCAACCCGTGTCCTCGATGATGACCAGCGCCTGATCTGTGCTCCAGCAGCATGGGATGGCTTTTCCCGGCTGCTCTCGCAAGAGCTTATCCGCTTTGTCAGCCAGCAGCCAAGTCCCTGCGCCGTGCGAGATCAATGCAGTGTCACTCTTCTTCAAAAGCACTGCCTCCTTGGCGTTGATGAACAGGCATGGTCCCGGTGCAAGCACAAAGGATGTGGAAGCATCCACACCTGCCACTTCTGTCAAATCGTCACCGTATTTGCCCTTCAAAGCCTCATAGGTTGTTGGCTCACCTGGGAAGTAGCCATCCCAGAAGTCCTTTGCATCAGTCGCAAGAGCTTCACTGCTGGTTGCTGAAGCTTCTTTCCCACCCACAGGATCAGGAATGGCAACTCCCCAGTCTTGGTCAAATTTTTTGAGTGTCTCGCGCCAATCTGGTCCCCATACGGGGCATGTGAGAAACGCTTTCCTCACATCTTGGGGGATCACCATTTTCCCCCCCCACCACTTGGCATAGCTTGAGATCGGGTGCACTTGGTGCAGCTGGGAGATCTTCCTGGGCAGGGCTGCTCTTGTAGCGCGGCGTGGCTTTGTCCATAGGTGCACGGCCAGCTTTCCAGGCCTGACAACTGTTCCAAAACCAGCAACAACCAAACACAAATGAATCTGTGGGTTGAACCATTGAACACCACATGTTTGGGGTCTCTTTCAAAAAACCCCACCTCCAACAGGTGGGTCTTAATGATTTCCTTGCCACAGTTGTGGCTGGGAGGCTGCCCTGATGATGACACAACAATGAAGCCAGAGCGGACGCCAGCGAGCTCAACGCACCCGTCATATAGAGTAGGATGAACCAGCACTGCGGCATGAAAGTTCTTCCTGCCACCTGCAAGGGTTCCCAATTCGAACGGGCACCAACCACAGCAGCTGAAGGAACACATTTTTTGGACAGATACCCAACCTGTCAGCGCATCGAAGATGGATTGACAAACCGGTACGCCACCCATCCACTGCGCTGTCTCCTGAAGGTCTGTTAGTGACCGTCTTGAGTCGTGCGACAAGAAGGCCTCGCCTGGCACGATGAAGTTTCGCTCTTCCAAAGCTTTGGGGAATGCATCTGGCTGCAAGCTTTGGCGAAGCCAAAGACTGCTTCCGCAGAACCTGAAATTGGCCGCTGACGCCAGCAACCCAACAAGTGATGGTGCCAGGAAAACATTTGGAATATCAAAAACTTTACTGCGCCAAAAAATGATCAAGAAACACATTCATCTCAGCATCTGGTGCAGGCGCGCCGCGCACTGATCTGTGAGCTGTGCCCTTCAGCGGAAGTGCACTGTCTGGCACCCCAAGCCACACTGGAAACGCCCCAGGCATCTCCCTGTTGCCATGGATCTCTTGCAAGTTCAAGTTGATGCACACCGTCCGTAGTTCAATCTTGCAAGCGAGAAGTTTATTCTCGATTTTCCTGGCTCAACCCACTCAGGCAGCTTGTGGTTGAAAAAAATCACCCCTTGAGACAATCCAACCTGTGGTTGAAATAAAAGAAATGTGAACGCAACCGAACCCCCGAACCCACTCCTGAAGTCTCCACGGAGTGATCCTCCACTCTCGCTGCCGACCAGGAGAGGTGGAATCAAGACCAGCACAGATCCTAGATTGTGCTTTATGTGTGGGACGAGAAACCAAGTTCTTTGAGTGGCTTTCATTTTGGCGCAACAAAAAACTTAGCACCAGGCGCTGGGTGTTCCGGAACAAGATCTTTTCTGCATAGTCTCCGATCAAATTGATCTCTGCCTGGCTGAGCACACACAGCTTGGTGCAATCAAAGTACAGGATGCAGTCCACATCATTTGGAGCGACCTGAAACAGGTTGAAATGGGTTCAACTTCACATCATTGAGGGAACATATTAAACATCCATGGGAACCATTGAGGGCCAGGAAAGAATTCTTGTTTCAGCACCACACCTTGCGGCTTGCAGCTGCAGCACGGATGAAGCTGTCCAAGCCAGTGTCAAAGCCATCCTTCTTGGTGACAAGGCTGACTCTGCAATGCTTCTCCATGAAGGCCTCGCAGAGCCTTTGAGCAGCGATGGCTCAGTGTTGTTCAAAGTGAACAAAGAGCAAAACCCTTGGGAGAGGGCACACCACAAAAAACAAACAATATATACCAACAAAAAGGCAAAACTGAGGAACTGCTTTCCCACTTGCACTTGAGCTTTCTGGTGCATCACATTGACCACATGGTTGCGCCGGCTCGACTCGCTGGACGCAGTGTTGAAAGCAGTCATTGATGCAATGTCTTGCGAGAGCTTGGCTGAGACTTCCCTGTAGCGGGCTGCCTGGGCCTGGTCCTCCATCTCGACAATCTCCACTGCTGAAGCCACTCCTGATGGTCCAGCAGGAGGCTCAACCAGATCCACCCAAAGGGACAAGCGCTGTGGCTTCCAGGAGCTCAGCTTGGCAGTCACCGCAGCCTCGATCTCTGCTGCATAGTCCCTGAGATGGGGCCACACTTCAAAGGAAGTTCACAGAAAATCAAGGGAGTCAACTGAAAAGAATACCAACCCTGGCTGTCTTTAAAAGTATACCAACTGAAAGAAGCAAAGCCAAGAATCCGTTGGAAGAAAGCTTTCGCCATGGCCTGCTCCTTGTCTTCATTCCAGCTTGCCAGCAGCCGAGCTTCTTCCCAAACATGTGAGAACACACAAGCAAAGTCGCAGATCAAGTCAAACTGGGCACTGCTAAGTCTAGCCCTGGCCCTTGCAGAAGCTCTCAGCCGACGGCCCTGGTCCAGAAACATCTTGATGACCAATCTCAAGTGAAGAGCCTGACTGTGGGGTGTGACTGTCAGGCACTTGCGCAGCTCTGGAGGGCATGCCGAAGCCTTTGGACTTGCGGTGAGCATCCATCTTGATCCTTTGAACTGCTCAGTACTAAAGGCCGACTGAGCCCACTTGTGGGCATCCAAGTGGTTCCGAATGACCTCTCGAGACTCCTGAGTTTTGCAATGGATGGGTCCGAGTCCAAACATTGGTGGGCAACATCTCAAACAAACAGTACAAATATTCAGACAAACTATTCAAGCAAATACCAGACACCTCACTGGTTCCACTCAAGAGATTGAGAACCGCCCGGAAGCGATCCTCTTCGATCCGATGTTTGGCTTGCAGCCCTGGCGACTGGTTGAACTCGGAGACCGCATCTTGCAAGCGTTGTTCCGTGGACATCTCTGCGTGACGCTTTCCTTCCTGCTCGTAGATTTCAAGCACACGGGAAAAACGAAGAGCAAGCTGAAGGGCACTCGGCGCTTGCCTCTCTGCTCCCCTGAAGCTCAAAGTTATATTGCGAAAGCTGCGATGAGTGGCCCCCATATTGAAAGCAACCTGGGCATTGTTGAAAAGTAGCCCACTAGTGGCAAAGTCTTGTGGGAAAAGATAGGAAAAGATAGGAAAAGATGCACTGTTGACTTGAGGCTGGGCACATGCACTGGAATCATCCAGGCCTTGTCAAGCACTGGAAACAAAGGCTGGAGAAGCTGAGCGGACTGCGGGTCCGAGAGATCCAGCTCTGAAGCTGCCAGCAACACAGTCATGACCACAGAAGAACGGGTCCACCCCTTGATTTGGTCAATGCACTGATGAGCCAATGGACGGCATGTATCTGCAGGGAATCACAGCAACCATTAAACAAAAATTGTCCACACCATTAAACACAGTAACATTTGGCACACCCCAATCCTTCTGCAAAGTCAAGTGACACGTCCAATGGCTCACGGCACTCCTCCAAAGACCATTGATTCGAAAGTGGAAGCCCAGTCTTCTGTGACCGGGTAGCCGTCCTCTGGAGGGCAGAACCTGATGAATAAGATGTCCAAAAAGATATCAACAGAGTAATTAACCCAAAAGAAGACAAAAGACTGACCAACAAGTGAAGCAGTTTTGAAGATCGAGAAAGTGACCGCAGATTCAATCTTCGAGATCCAAAAAGTAATTTGGAAGTTTCTCTATTCTGACGTTAGTCATGGTTGGCAGCACCCACAACCCTGTGGCGATAGGCTCTCAGACTTGACGGTCACAAACCAAAATGCTTATTATTTGGCAGACTGAGAGGCTTCAGGCAGGTGATTGGAACCTTGATGGTCTCATCCTTCATTGATGGGTCCACTACCTGATTGCAGCCGCCGACTGGCTTGCAAAGAAATACCCAAACCCGAAAACCAGTTTCTGGTTATTGCATGGCAGGTTCACTTTGGGAAGTTGTGGTGTTGCAGGGAGAACGCCAACACCAAAAAATCAATGATATTTCTGCTTAGACACCACAGATTCTGGTTTCTTGAAGAGGTAACTCATGTTCCGCATCTTGGCATAGTCAAAGTACCACCCTTCCAACTGTGTGCAGTGAAGGTGGTTGTGTTCTGCGCTGTCACTAGCAAAGATCTCAGCAATCAGTGCTGCAGGGTGCTCACCAGGCGTCGCCTGCTCACCACGAAAGGAACCCACATACTCCAGAAGATCCTGGTGAGACTAAGCAGGTGGTTGGGGTCAAACCTCCCATTGATCAAATGTACTTAGGACGGGATCTATATAAGTTTAAAAGTGATGAGCCATGAAGAGTGTTGGCAAAGGAATCAAGTGTCCTTCACTGTTTGCAAGTCACCTGACATCTTTGCCAGTTGCTTCTCATACTGGTTGCACATGCGCTTGGCAGGACGCTCTGTGGCATCCTTTTCTTCTTCCTTCTTCACCAACTTAGCACGCTCCTCGGCCTTCGTTTTGAACGGTGTCACTGCCATGATGGGCGCCGAACAGCGACACCTTTGATCCCAAAAGTGACTGTAAGAACACGGTTTGATCTCCTTTGAGTCCACTGATCTCACTTTCAGGATCTTGATTCTGTTTCAGCTGACTGGTCAACAACCAGTCCACCGATCCTTTATTTAAAAAATATGAGCTTCAATTTTTATGTTAGATTTTAAAAAAAATTGAAGCTCGGATTTTTGTCCAATTAGTTTCAGCTGACTGGCCCACAACCAGTCCACTGATCCTGTTCATGGTTCTTAGATAAAAATCAATTGACCCAGATGAGATGAAACCATTGCAACTCCCCTTCCAAACCCCAAATGAAGACCTTAGAAGCTGGGGTTGACAGACCTCAAAATCATTGAAAATCAATCGACTCGTTGCCAACCAGTCCACCGAAACCTTCTGCCACGGACCCCTGGGTGCACCGAAAACAGTTGACTGACAATGGGCGGTGCACCGAAAACTGCTGACAGACCCCCAGCGGTGCACCGAAAACCGCCGACCGACCCCCAGTGGTGCACCGAAAACTGCCGACCGACCCCCAGTGGTGTCCTGAAAACTATCGACCGACCTTGAGTGGTGCACCGAAAATTGTCGACCGACCATCTCTGGTGCACAAAACTGTTGACCCACAAGTGGTGGTGTAGGAAAGCCGGTGTTCCTGCAAGTGGTGGTGGTGGTGTTGGTGTTGCCCTGAAAGTGGTGGTTGGATGAGAATATATGAGATTCAAAGAATTGTGGTCAAGACTCCATTGGAATAGGAAGTCCACTGTATTGACCCCCCTCCCTTCATCTCCCCACTGGGCTGTTTGTTGCTGGACTGGAGCTGAAGTCTCTTGAGCGCCTTAAGCGCACACAGTCCAATCTGTGTTCTGGTCCTATGCTTGGTTTCGGCTAAATACTGCTCTAAGAGGAATTGCTGGGGCCAATGCATTTAGCACCGCCTGGTGGAGTATGTATCTTGGAGCCCCCATGCCCTGAGGTTGGGCATGCTGGGTGTGAAACGGCATGTCCGGAAACTCAGCAGCTGTCCAGAAAGCGTTGGCTGCCAAACTCTCGAGATAGACCACACTCCTGTCGTACTGGTGGCCATAGTAGAAGTGAACCGCTTCTGCCAGCTTGGTCATCGCTGTCGCCCATTGGCGAGAATGGTTGTTGGGCCACCTTGTGAAATTGAGGCTTCTACTTCAAATGGTTTTCGGGAAGCTTCACCCTATTGTTGATCTAAAATTTGGTGGGTATTAAATAACCTGAACGGGATCCCATCTATTGAGAGAGCTGAGAGGACTTGACAAACATTTAGGTTCATTAGTGGTTTGTTGCACAAACTTTCATTAGACACATCTGAGCGACTTCTCCTGTGGAACCATCTGTAGTGCGCTAGCTCGGCTCTGTGTTAGGACCAGCATTGGCGGCTGTGATAGATCGGAATCGCAGATGTGCTTTTTGATCAGTGAGATGACGTCGTGTGGGTGGGCCACCCCACGGTAGCTGCCTGGGTTCACCATCGACTTGAAGGTGTCTGGAAGATCTCAGGGCCGGGGTTCTCAAATCAACCATGGTTACCACATGTTACAAACTCTTGACAAGTGGGTTCTCCCTGTGAACATGTTGTTTTAAAGAACCCTGTCTCCTCGACGTTGTAAGCACAGAAACATATGATTTCCGGACTCATCTTTGAGCAGCCCCCCCCCTCAAGCTTCACGCCAGTCGAGGGCAAGTGCGATCGCCAACTCCTGGTGGCGTTGAGTTTCTTGACTGAAACCTGTGTGGTGTTTCCGATCCAATCCCGGATGGTGGGCTTCGAAAGTTCTGAGGAGATCGCATCGATCACATCGGTGGGATCCAATAGGCCACTTTCGTGCGCCACTCTGCGTGCGATTATCCCTCACAGCTGATCTTAGCTTGGCTTGCCTTTCAAAAAATGGTATGCTATACTGCTATACCCTATGTTAAAAACAGAAACCACCACAGGAAGAACAAGACAGTTTGCTGAACTTTAGTCAGCTGAAGGTCCCACCCGGCAGTGGGTGTGGCTCTTGCGGAGGTGGCAGAGGCAAGCACTGCGAAACAAATGCTTGGCCACTGCCAAATGGATATACGTGAGGAGGTATTGGTTCTTTGCCTCGCGGACTGTGTTGTCCGCCTGATATGTGGATGTTTTGTTAAAGACAAACACCCCTTGGCAAAGCCTATAAGACAAACAGAACAATTAAGTCATTGTCATTGTAAGCGGCGTTGATCACCAGGGTGGTCGGTCGGGGACGGTGATCCCGATCACAGATGCGCATGACCTTGGGTGTTGTGGTGTGACAATCCTTGCTTGTTTATAGGTTCATTCAGGACTACCCTTCCCTGAGCAGCTTTAACGTCGATGCGGCTAGGTAGAATGCTCAAAACTGTTGCAGAAGCAAGACCAAGATACATCCTCCACGGCTTGGGAGATCATTTCTATTATTGCGCTGCTGTCATGGCGGCTACAGTCGTCAAGGATCGATATGTTCAATGTGTACCCATAGCACCATACCCCGTGCACCTTCAGCCGAGGACGCTGGTGCTTTGCCCTGAGAACAACGGACCAGGCAAGTGGTGGTGTGTTGGTGAAGCTGTTGTTGTGGGGCGGCGCCAGAAGGTTACAAAACAAAAACTTTAAGATACTTAAGCAGCACTGAATTCTACCTAGCATCAATCCTGCGTTTGCTCGAAGTTGTGGGTCGCGTGGCAGGGCAAATTTAGCTTGATCTAAGCCGTCTGTGCAAATCATTAGGATTCCAGAGTGTTGATCGGCACCTTCAAACTGAAGTGTCCAAATCGTGGTACGGTCACAATATTGATCATGTAAATGGGCCCTGTATCCCTGCAGACACCCCAGCTTTTGTTCAAAAGTGAGTTTCTTGTCCTGCAACTGTGTTTTGAAAGCGCAGCATACTTCACAAGAAGTGAATAGGGATTGAGATCGAAATCGAAGGATGTCTTGCCAGCGCTCCTTGTAGACATGGTTGAATGTTGTGTACCTGAAACATCTGTAAACTCTTGGCGTTCCAAAGTATAATAGACATTTCGACTTGGGAAAACATCCATACACAGTGTAAGGCCCATAAAACACACGTTTAATTGAATCCAAGGTGAGGTACGACACTGGCTTTCCTCCAAGCATTTGCTGGGTAGCCTTGTACTCTTCAAAGAGTTCCATCACATTCCCTGGTGGTAGGAACTTCCGCACAAGAACCTGATTGGGAAGAAGTGTACTTTTGGCAGATGTGGTTGACAACCACTCACGCATCTCCTCGACATTTTCAACGTCAGAAGCCACTTCTTCAGACCCTGAATCACCATCACTATCCAGATCAGATTTCTTCTTCTGGGAAGCTCTGCCACGTCTGATGAACCTGCAGCTGTAGATTATATATGAATTTGTTTGTTTTGTTTCAAGAAGCCCAGTCGTAGAGATGATCAAAACCCAACCACTCACCTCCAAAAGATCTTAATGTAAAAAACAATCCGAACCCATGGATGGTATGGCAAGAAACTCATCCGGCATTGTTTCTGCCACTGAATCGTACGCTATGCGAAGAAAACCATCAACACTCCATGTAGACGGTCTGCTCATGTAGGGACGAGTGCCATGCCGCAGGTCTGGGGTGCTTGTGGTCCCTTTGCGCAGCCGACCAGTGCCCACACCCAGCAATGCCGCAAGACACTTGAAGCCAACTGGTCGGTCAAGAAGGGTGAACTGCTTGTCTCTAGACTCACTGGTGGTGGCTAAGCAAAGCTGAACCTGGGACGGCGCCAAATGGCTGATACTTTTGAGGGTTTAAGCATTTCCAGGGTTTAGAGTTTTGGACATTGTCACCAAAAAGAAGTACAAACTAGGCTGTGGTGGAATAACCAAGCTACCATGGAGTCCTGATCGCTTTTCTGCATGTTCCAGAAAGTTCGGAGAAAGCTTGGCAGGTCCTTTGAATTCTTGAACTGCTTGAAGCATTCCACATTAGCACCTGGGCTGTCGTCGAACGATTGAACCATAGCCCAATTGTGTTTACCCTTGGTGTGGGGTGTTGAGTTGAAGCCCAGGTTGACCCAAACATCCCAAGAACAAGGCACATTGGCAGGATGGCAATTTAAAGAGCTTCTGAAGTCGCCCTGGATCAACCCCATTCTCTTTAAAGTGCCCTGCAGAGCTCTGCCGACTGTAGCTAGCCATTGCAGCGCGTTCAGTGTTGTTGTACTTGCGCTTCTTCTTTTCTGGGGCGCTGTTCACGCCCTCCTTCCAAAAGGTGGCCTTCTTCAAGTCCAGTAAACTGTTCCAACCCATGGAAAAGACCGTTTGCGCCGACCCTCGATAATCAGCTTCAGAACCACTGCTCGACTCTGACAAAGGTTGCCTGACATCATGGCCAGCCTCCTCTGGCTCCTCACCCCAGAGGACAGAGCTGAGGGATGGCTGGGGCCTGGATTGGAACCGGTGTGAAGAAGGGTTCTTCGTTGGCGCTGGGCCAGAAACTCTTTCTGCAGGCTCACTCCCAAAGAGGCCAGGAGCAGGAAGATGTTTTACTGGATCATGGCTTTGCACACTCAGGAAAGGCAAGGGTTTCGAACCTGGGGCTTCCTCTTTTTCAACACCGAATGGTGGCATTTCAGCCTTGAGCTGAGATGCTGTTTGTATTCGCCCAACGTTCCAATTTCAACCGTTCACCATAAGTGGGCGCCACTTTAAGCAAAAGTTCCTTCACCTTCTTACACCCATGCTTTGGACAACAGAGAAAAACACAGCCAGGTTCTTTCGCACTGAGTGGTGTTGCTTCGGAGCTGGCAGGCATCATCTGCTCTGCTTTGGCTGAATTAGGTGTATGTTACAGTAGACAAAAAAACCATTACTCCACCGACTGGCTAACGAGGTGACACACATAGCAGTGTCATCAACAAAATAAAGCCAGCGCATGGCAAGCTCATGCCGTTTCCGGAGATGCTTCGGAGCGCAGACTCGGAGAGGTAGTCCAAATAAACGTTGTCCTTATGACAACTGTGATTGAAAACATGTTTTCCCCATGGGCCAAGACTGAAGAACATTGAAGAACCCACCATGATCATATAGCTGGATATGCCTTTTGGTTCATGTGATGGGGCCACCCTGAAGAACACCCCATGAATTTCAATCAATTCTAGGCATGAGTCAACTCGGGCTGCAAGTGCTCCTGGAGGACAGCATGGAAAACCCAGGACGTGCATTTGCTCCTTCCCGAGCATCAAGCGCCCATGCTTCTCTGACCTGGTGAGTTGGCAACCATGTATATGTAGTTTGATACATACTTGAGTGTGCACACACACATCCAACCCTTGACAAAATTCAGAAGTATTCTGACACGTGACCACAGCTGTGAACTTGTGGTCAAGCAGGGCATGCACTTGTCCACAGTTTCTGTGCGGCATCTCTTGAGAGCATTGGCGCTCAAGTCATAGATGTCCTTGTCAGGACGCACCTGACGGAAGATCCGCAAGTGCTTTTGCTGGGACCTGAAGGCCGGCAGTGGATGAAAGGACGTCTGGATGGAACTCAAAACAATGTGGCCCACACTGAAAAACAACTTGGGTCTAAACGCTGAAAGATCCTGCTCATAGACAGGGTGGTCTTCAAGATCAGAAGGTGAAGCGCAAAGGTATGTGTTGAAATCTAACAGCAGCTTCGATTCCAGGGGTGCCAAGAGCAGGTTGGCAAGTTCACCCAAGGTGTAAGGACAATCCCATTTCTTCAATTCCTTGTTGTACAGGATGCGCCACACTCGAAGCCTTCGGTTCGGGTGCCCGAACTGGCGTGGGCACAGCCTGGGCGTGAATAAGATCATGTTCTGAGAGCTCTTTGCAACATCTTGTCAAGCACTGCTTAGGCTGAGACAAGACTTTCTGTTGCTCATGGGTGTGGAGATGTTGGTCCAAATACTCCTTGCCAATTTGATTCAGGTTTACAGTTGTTGTTGATCGGATTTAAAAAAGAAACTCGTACATAGCACTTCTCAATGTTTGGAAAGCAGTGAATTGGAGACCGGCCTCTTCATAGTCTGGGACATTCTCATGAATGGAAATTGGGGTGAGCTTCTGGAATGCCATAGCAGTATCATGCGCGTGCTTGACCTTGATGTTCTTGGTGTTGAAGCCCTCACGGAGGCCGTACCTGTTGCAGAAAGGGTTGACCAGCAGCCTTGGAAATGATTTTGAGGCTTGCAGCGCACTTCGAGAACAGGATGCAGGGCGCCCCAATGATACCCAAGTCGTGCTGGTCGAGGTTCAATGGGCACCTCAAGCAGTAATTGTTTGGTGTGATGGAATGATGGTTCAACAGGTGTTGAACTCACTGTCACTTTGCTGTTTTTCAATGCAAACTGGACAAGGCACTCATCCATGTGTTGTACACAGTGACATTGTGGAAGCAACTCCAAATCACCAGGGGCCCAATTCTTCTTCTTTGGAGGGTTGGCCACACAGTCTAAAATATCTGGAAAGATGCAGGTGTCAGGGAAGCTCTCCTTCGCCATCCTGATGCATGACCAGTTCTTCTCCACCTAAGCTTGGAACTTATCCCACAAGCCTCTGATACCTATGTCACATGTCACAGCAACACTCTTACGAATTCAGTTGTACGAAGTTCAGCTGTGGAACATGTTAGTCAAGTGTCGTTGAAACTGAACTCCATCTGCGGTTGCACACCCCACATCTCCAGGGGTGCCGAGACAAGCATATTCCACGCGTGCCTGGCACACAAAGCTCCTCCAAATAGGTCGTACGCGCGCATGGGAGTGGTACCTGGTGAGCTCACTATTGTTTGAGTTTGTTTGAGAATCAAGGTAAGTACTATGGGCATAAAGAACTTTCAGTTATGCTGTGCACACAAATCGATAAATCCATCATGTTGGGTCGGGCACGAAGCTTGTTCTTCACAATCTCCTCACCAAAAAGAAGCGATGCCCTTTGGAGCAAAGTGAAAGCCCATAGCCTGAACAAAGCCACATCTCTTACTCCAAGTAAGCGTTGTTGGTATAATGAGAGTTGTATACAATGACGCCTAGGAACGAAAGCTGCTCTGTGCTCTTTGGCATGGGGTATGGGCCAAGGCCATTCGCAATCCTAAGTCACAAGGATTGAGGCAATGGCCACCTCTAGTGATTTGAATGCCTTGGTTGAAATCCACCTGGCAATTCAATGCTACTGAGGTTCGACCTGGAGGCTGCAGCACTCACAACCACAGGCTCCGAGACACGGCTTGTAGCCGCTGGTCGCTTCAACGCCGCTGCAGGTTTTTTGCAAACCGTTTTCCGAACAGTTTTGGCCTTTGAAGGTTTGGCCTTTGCGCCAGGTTTGCTGTTCATCAATTTGGCCAAATCCATGGCATGGTGCAAAAAAACACGGTCTTCCAATCTAAGAACTGAGAAATGCTACACAAAGCAGAAGATGTAAAGGGCTATAATTTATAATCCACACGATTGATTAGCAGTGACCAAGACCATCAAATTGACACGAGTTGAACTTGAGTTCAGAACTGGACGTGTGACGCACCACCATCCAACGCAGGCCTGC